AGCAAGTGGAATGGATTTGATAGTGAAGCACTGACACAGTGCTCTACAAAGTGCGGCGAGTGGATAGACCGATTCACGGACTTTCCACATGGTAAAAGTGGAGGGGTCTAAACGAATCATTTGAAAAAGTGGGGGGGACTTGTCCCACCCTCATATAATGGCTGCGACGCCCCTCCTGTTGTTCATTGATAAGCCTGAAACATGCACTTGTCAAGGTTCAGAGGCAAATTTTGCAAATATGGCAGTAGCCATCGATCATCTTAAGATAAGATAAGATTAGATATACTTTATTGATCCCAAGTTGGGAAATGTTTTTGTTACAGCAGTATACTACTTTGTTCTACTCCACTACAATTCAGAGGTCAACCTGGTATTTTTACTCCACTACATTTATTTTAGTTACTTTGCAGATTCTGATTAATGATGTGAAATATAAACAACCCTTAAATCAGACTTTAGTTACACCTGAGTCAAATTCAGGGAAGGTGATTGTCAAGTGCCAAAATAAATTATGCAATATATTGGACGTTAAGTACTTTCAGACTTCATATTTATCTGTGGATAACCCCAACGTTTTTTTCCGATTCAAAAGAAGACCTTAACTTAAAGTATTCTTTAATGTTTAAATAAAGCCTTATTAGTTTGTCTGTTTTGCACATCCTCCTGTTAATATCTTTGGACGTCCTGCACTAGCTGTTTTAATGTAGAGATCACTTCAGTATCTTCTTGATACTTTCTATTCTATATTTCTATCATGCCTTCTACTTTCCCCCAATGTTGTATGTAGGCTACTCTTAATATTTAAATGTTTTCATCAAATAAAACGTATTCAACAACAAAATTCAATAACGTGCTTTAACCACTAGGCGGCGCAGGTTAAAAAACCAGTGGTGTAGTTAATAAAACATAATAATATCAAACATAATATGACTATTAACTTTATTGTGAAATGAAAACAGAACGGTAAAGGAAAATACAGTTTCAGTCTCTCGATGTGAAGCTTATGCATTGTACCATGAACCTGTATAGACCTGTAACAGTCAACTGCATGAGGAGTTGGAAAGGTAGTAAATAATATCTTTAAAAACTACAAAAAAATCCCTTTCTATCAACTGTGCACCGTTATGGTGTAAATATAACCTATCTACCAATTGGATCAAATATAAAAGTCAGCCGAATTAGTGTTGATACTGCAAGGAGACGTATTGTGTGAAAAGAAATGGAAGATGTTGTTTAATTGCTAATATATTTATGATCCACGTCACGAACCGTGTATTACAATGCCGTTATGTGATGACTTCCAACGAGAAAAGCAAGAACACTCGAAAACAAATCAATCGATGTTTTAGCCTATAAAAACCTCTGAAAAACGAAAGGTGTCTCTCAGAATCTAAAGAGAAAAACCTATGGGAAAAACACAATAGCATTGTACACAATTTAAACCAATAAATGTCGTACAATTAACAAGGATAAACTGATGTTTTTTAGTTGATGAATACTGCCGATATCACTGTTAAATCTTTTGATCATTGGGTTCATTATGAAAACGTCAAGACCGGAAATACTGTTTTCAACCCGTAACTTTACATGGAGGCTGCCGCATACCTCAAATCATCTTCGTAATATCTATCAAACTATAGATCCTACATATCGACTGGACGTGGATTCTAAAAGTACAATCTACACTTCTCGCTAGAAATCTAATCAAAAAGCGTTTTAATGGCCAAACTTAGTGATGTTACGTATTGCGCCGAGGCTTGGGAGCGTGTGTCGAGTAATCCCGAAGCTTTTTGTGAAGCATGTATCGAGGCTTGTATCGTTTTGTGCCAGTGACGTCATCGATGACAAACGAAGCCTCGCTGCCTGTCGATACCACGTGACTGCTTCACGAAGAGATTCAGATCGGTTGAACCGTTGAACCACAACGCATGGATGTGCAGCTCATCCAGAATGCAGCGGCTCGCCTGGTCTTCAACCTTCCTAAATTCTCCCACACCACTCCGCTCCTCCGCTCCTCCGCTCCCTTCACTGGCTTCCGGTAACTGCTAGAATCCACTTCAAGACACTGGTACTTGCGTACCATGCTGCGAATGGATCTGGCCCTTCCTACATCCAGGACATGGTTAAACTGTACACCCCAGCGCGTGCACTACGCTCTGCATCAGCCAAACGGCTCGCTGCACCCTCACTGCGAGGGGGACCCAAGTTCCCATCAGCAAAAACACGTGGGTTTGCTATCCTGGCTCCAAAATGGTGGAATGAGCTCCCCATTGACATCAGGACAGCAGAAAGCTTACACATCTTCCGGCGCAGACTGAAAACTCATCTCTTTCGACTCCACCTAGAGCAGTGGTTCTCAAACTTTTTCTGTCAGGCCCCCCCTTTGGAGAAAAAAAAAAGTCGGGCCCCCCCCAACACAAATAGTCTGGCTCAGTGGCGGCACCAGAGATTTATTTTGGGGGTGCTGTGGGGTAGCTTGACGTTTCATAGAGGGTGCTCAAACATTTAGGGTTTCCCATTAAGGTACCGGGCACTACAGTGGAATGTTCTACTGCAACACTCCCCACGCATATACACAATGTACCCGCGACTGTTACAATGAAGGCTCGATATGCTCCCCCGGGAAGATTTTTTTTTAAATATTGAAGTTAAAAGCATTAATCTGGTGCACTTTGAGAGCAAAATGAAGAGATCTATGGATACATCTCTCAACACCCATTTGAAACAGAACTGTAAACAGATTTACTTTTTCTTTATGGATATTTTACAAATCACTCCCCTTTTAAACTTTATTCTTGTTTTACTGTCATATAGTATTTCATAGCTGTTTTTAATTTATTCTCTTATTTTTGTATAACTATAATGATCATATAAACGTGTGCCTCGGAAATAATTGTTTACATTAATGGTGACCAAAACATTTGAGACCCACTGAGATAACACTGAGAGTCCTTTAGTTCACTGAGTCCCTCAGTCTGACAGGAGAGGACTCTCCTCCACCTTGTTGTTGAAAAAACTCCTTATATCTGTTAGCGTAGCTCGCTAGCACCAGAAGCTAACAACAACGATCTCCGGCGCTCTCTCTCTCTCTCTCTCGCGCACGCACACAAAATGGCTCGTTCCACACGCACACAGAGCCAAGCTTTAATGAAACACAGAGACCCAGACGTAATAGTACTGTATCGTATTATTTTCGAATCAATAATTTTTCAAAATATGATTTTTTTTTTTTTTTTTTTAATAATAAGAAAAAACATTTTGCCTCCTGGTCTCTCGCGCCCCCCCTGTCATGCCTCTGCGCGCCCCTGGGGGGGCGCGCCCCCCACTTTGAGAACCACTGACCTAGAGTGATAGAACTATTAACAAATAACTGCTAACAGAGCACTTATATACTAATAAAGGACTGGCTTATCTAAAGCCAGTTGAGTAGCACTTGAAATGTTTGGCTCTATGAAACCTGATGTACTTATATGATTCTGTTTTCTTCAAGGTTGTGTCTTCCTGGTCGAATGTACTTATTGTAAGTCGCTTTGGATAAAAGCGTCAGTTAAATGCAATGTAATGTAATGTATAATAAGAACCATATTACCCCTCCTGTACCCGGACCCGGTGACACGATGGAATCAAGAGAGCTCAGACCCTCACTTATATGAGGTCGGAACATGTCATAAGTATAAATAGATACAAGCATAAATAAATATAGGAATAAAAACATGAATAAATAAATGAATAAATACAGGACTAAATATGTTGCAGTGTTTTCAGGGAGCTTTAGTGTGTGTGCTGCGGCTCAGCTGGAAAGCAGTTGACTCACGACCGCAGGGTCCCTGGTTAAACGACTGAACAATACGTACTTTTTGTTGTTTATAAAAGCTACAGCTAAATGAGATAATGTAGTAGTTAATAAATGTATTCTTTGATATGGTTTAGCCTTTCTCAGGCTACAACATGGTTAAGTTTATGAATATTATTAAGGAATACAAATCCCTCTTTGCAATGTTTACCAGCCTCCTTAGGCTTTTCAATCACAATCATTAAACTGGAATAAATACAATATTGTTAACATGAAAATATGATTTAATGTTCGTTGTTTAGAGTTATTCTAAGGCTTTACTCATTGGGAACTCGGTATGAGATAGAGCACACTGTTGAGATGTCCAATCTGCCTGTTGTACACACTTTGACCAACAGGGGGGGTTTGTGTTCAAATGAAGCCCATGATGAAGCCTCATGAGATGAACCCTTTTGCGAACCAATTGGCTGGAAAGCTTCAAAGCTTCATAAGGCTTCATCTCACCATCACTAGCCAAACTATCTTACAATTTAGGATTGTACAGAGAGGGCTTGTGACGTAGCAGATCACAGAGTGACTGACTCCGCCACTGACACACACACACACACACACACAGTAAAACTTAATAAGTTGTGGTAACTTAGAAAAAGTATGCAAACTCGTTGCCTCACAATAAGTAACTTAACTTAACTTAGAATGGTGAGTTTGAACAACTTGTGTATTCTAAGTGTGCTTCAATTAATTTTGAGAAGTACAGCTGACACAAACCTTTTAAGTTATGTAAACTTATGTAAACTAAGTTATGCCAACTTATGTAAACTAAGTTATGTAAACTTAAAAGGCCTGCTTTGCATTAACCTATTTTTTTTTTATTTGTGTGAACTCAATGAATAAATTAAACCCTACTTAAATATACAAATCACCAGAACTTAACCCTTTTAAATTCTACTAACTCGTAATTTCTAAGGTTTACTATTAAATTAAACAAACTAATTCCTGCTAACTAAAATAATTGTACTACAACAAATCTCTAAACACGTTGTGTAAACTCCAACAATCTCCAAAAATAATGCATTAAAAACACAAATTGATTCAATTGCAATATAACATTTATTTTCAAGTGCCAACAAACAGTGCTTTTTAAGTACTCAAAACCCTTATCTTAATAAAAACAGCAGTGCACAACCCACCAATTGTAAAAATAAAAAATATATAATGACCACTATGAAGAAGAGTACATTGTACTTTGCTCTCAACAATTGACAGAGTTATAACAGTTTCCCCAGAGTAACAAACTTTTGTCATAACATTTAACGGTGCAACTTTTTTAAGTGCCAAGTTCTATCTGATAGTTGATGACTATCTTGACTAAGGTCTAATCCAGTAGAGCGTTTCTCAAAGTTAATAGTTTAGGTGAGAGAGCTTTGGTTCCTAGTCCAAGCATCACTGTTTGAACGAACCTCAGAGTATTTGCCATGCATTTTGGGTGATCTAAATGCAAAGCATATATCAGGCCAAATAACAGGCCTGTGGAAAGTTTTTGATCTTTTCCATGACAATACCTCCCTCAAGCACAATGTCAGTGGAGATGGGTTCGAGGTGGATTGAGCTTGGACCCTCCTGAGGACTGTCTTCGCTGAGAACAGTCAGCACACCAACAGTGACGGATGATAGGGCCTCATCTCTCGTTGTATCCTGCAAAGAAAAACACGTTATTTAGACTATCATCGCTACCTATTAGAGTAGGTCTTCCTATGAAAACATTCATGTTGCATTTGCATTAAAGTCTATGCTAAAAAATGTAGCTGAAGTACACACTCAAACTGCGTCGTAACATTATATCCAAAAAGGTGCTGTAAATGTGGTGTGAGGAAACTAATGCTATGGATGCAAATACAGCTAGGAACGTGCATTTATTTTACACCTCATTTCTAATCTAGACTCTTGGTCATGGAATTTAGAGTACAGTATTTTGAACACACCAAATTAAATCTTTTGGTTGCAAGTTTGTGTAAATAGGGGATATGACTTTTCAATAAATGCAAACCAAACAGTTTTTTTGTGTTCAAGTACTTACAAAGCATGTCTTGAAGAAATCCTTGGAGTCGTCGCCAAGAACAATCGGAATGCCTTTGAGGACAACAGAGCGCTGTTCAGTCACGTCCGGTGTCTAATGATAGAGATAAAGAAGATAAAGGTTAAATGACAAACTCACAAGATGAAACATTTTGGCCTTTTCCATCTTTTTGAGGGGTTGTTTTAATTATTTTAGAAGGCTTTTGAAGTAGTACCATATCGTCATCAATGTATGTGACAAAAAGTTGCTAAGTTATATTACTTACCGGCCAGTTGATGCTCTGCAGTTTCTGTCCCACCGATCCTTTTTTTGACTTGAACAATTGGATGAAACGTGGGGTGTGCTGGCCCAGAGCCTCAAAGAAGTCTGCCTCAAGGTTCCGACTGGTAATCCGATTAAATTCGTCAAATACCTGAAAAAGTAGAGAAGGGGGTGGGGTAGGAGATGGAAAGCCAGCACATTAGGAAGACATTAGTTTAAATCAGGCATCCTCAAACTACCGAACCACCACTGTCTCCGGACTCTGAGCAAATTATACTTTTCATATGTATGATCTCTCTGTATTATATGTGAGACATCGCCACAACGCATTCGCAACGAGTACAAATTCTCCGCTATGTCCACTGCAAACAGCGCTCTGCATGTCTGACTGTTCCACTGTGTTCCACCTGTGTGTGTCAACGCTTTGGTCCAATCACATTCAGCATCCAGTCAGCGTTTTTTCCCCCCAAACAATCTGCGAATCAGAGGCACAGTGGCACAGTAGGGCGGGTCTTCGCGGAATGCGGGTGGGAAAAATGTGTGTGTCTCTTTCAACCTGTCTAAATCAGAGCGAGAATTAAAACAAAAACAAAAAAAATTCAGAGCGAGAGTTAACAGCTCATCTAGTTCCATCTGTACTGTAGCTAGTAGCCTAGTTTCACCTACCGGGGTGGCAACTGACACCCTAAAAATAGCCTTGCCACCCCAGCTGCCACCCCAGTTGGTAGCTTTGTTTTGAAAGAAAAGTTGTGGCTCATCGGACATTTATGAGAGAAAGTATCTAATGTCCGAGTGCAAGTGAATGCAGCACAAGATGCACGTCATGTAACCCCTCCCCCGGTCCTGGCGCGAGTGTGGACATACGATTGGTGGCGATTTCATTTTGAACTGGACGGCGCAAAACGAGAAGCATTCTGACCCAAGCACTGAAGGAATGAGGTATTTGCGGTCTACACTGACAGAGAAGAGACTGTCAGTGTGGCTGTACTCAGCATTGAATCAAAACGCACTGAAGCTGTTGATCTTAATACGTTTGTGAGGCGTTTTGCTGAACAAGATGGTAATCGCCGCATTCAGCTGTAATAGACATGTCAACTTGATGCTCTGCTCACAGATGAGCATACACAACTATTAAGATGATGACCTTACGTGTGTAAATATATTTTTTTCTTTGAGGGGGTCTGCCCCCAAAAAACTGTTTTAAGTCCTGAGAAAGTCAAATAAGACGGTGTGTAAAACTACACTTCCCAGCCAAACAAAAGTAACCACTTTGATTTAACTAGGCCAGTAGGTAAGGGCTTTCCACTGGATAATAACTGAGTATAAAAGAATGCATGACTGAAGTGATGGAGACCATGTTTGAAGGCAAACAAAAAGAGGAAATAACAGGTCAAATCAAGCAAATCCCCTCTCAGATTCCACAGCAACCAGAAGAACATAAATACTGGCTGGTGATTTGATTCATCAGCTTTGTGATGGAATAAAAAATGCACAGTGCCTTTCCTTAGCTGTGGGTGAGTCCACTGACACCACTGACAATGCTCAGTTGCTGGTGTTTGTGAGTTTTTATGATGAGGCAAAGGGGGAGTTTGTTGAAGATGTGTTGGGCCTGACGAACCTCAGTGGACACACAAGGGGGCAAGACATTTATAAAGCAATAATGGGAATGCTGAATGAAAGAGGGTGCAGCTGCCTTTATTCATAACTGTGCAGCTCTTACACTGCGACTCTGAGGGGTCAAGCACAGACACAATAACAATGAAAACTGCTGCATACAGATTATTTTTGTTTTTGCAACCTCGTGTTAAGAATCTTGTTGCAATTGTTTAAAAGTTTGAATGACCGTAATAAACGGACCTTTGTCTTATTGAAACATTTATTTTGGACCTTTAAGATTTGTATTTGAGTACCCCTGGTTTAAATCATAACAATTGTGCAAGCAGGCAACCACTATGGCTTAGATAGAAAGGCAGGGTACACGTCTAGCCCACAACAATATAATATTGTATGCTGAGATTTCAGGCCTCTATAATTAATATAATATTGTTTTGATTTATTGCTGCAACGTTTTGTTTACTAATTGATTAGTATATCAAAAAATTAGAACAATAATATTTGCTAAATGTTATGATAATGAAAAATGAGCAGAACTTACAGGTCCACTGCATCGAAGGTTTTCGATCTGCTTGGCAAATCTGAAAATCAAGAACGATAAACCAATAAAAACCATCAAACATCACGTATACAGCAATTTAGAAACTTTAGAATTCAAAACTTGTATTATGAAATAAGTGAAAGTGAGAAGAGGACTAAATTGCATCCATGCTATTGTTGTGATCAAATTCTAGTGATGTTAAAGGGCCCATGTCATGGCCATTTCCACAGATCATAATTCCATTGTTGAGGTCTACTAGAATAGATTTATATTGTGCAATGTTCCAAACTCACATTGGTTTCTCATACAGCATCTCTAAACTACGTGTATTCACTGAATTTCACTCTGTCCTAAACGCCTTGTTGGAGCTCCCCCCCCCTCCCTGTGAGCCCAGTGTGCTCTGATTGGTCGGGACGTTGAGAAGCTCCCAGCTGCAGTCTGAGCTGCAGTGTGCGCTCCGTGGCGGTGTGGTTTTCTGATTGGCGATACACACCTAAACACAGCCAAACTCATCCTGAGCACACAAACACTCACAGCCGAAGTAAAAACAATAAGTGTGGCTTGATATTGAGTAAGAAAAAGGTTGATAAACGCTGTGAGATTCCAACTCGTCTGTCAGCGCTCACGGAGCTCTATGCACGTCAAGGCTCTGGGTGGGGCAACTGGGTGTTCACACGTCATAACGGCCAGGAAGAAAACATTGGAAAATTAGAAATCTCCAACGAGGCGTTTTGGGGAGGTATTTTCTGTGTTTGAGTTTTACTCGCTACAGGGTGTACTTTAAGGGTTTGTGACTCTGCAGACCGTTTACATGCAGAAAAATCTTCATAACACACAAGGGGACGGGTAAGAACCGGAAAAGCATGACATGGGCCCTTTAACATAAAGCTCTTACGCCGCTGCTCATAGAAAAAATACAAACGATCAGAGAGGAATTGTGTAGTGTGTAAAAATACCTTTTACTGCTGTGATCATGGAATGTGTGGAGTTGCCACCATCTGTTAAAGCCTGAATGGGGAAGAATAAAACATTTGAAAGCAGATATTTCTAACAAAAACATAGACATTTAATCGATTATAGCAAAGATTGCAAACATGACAAATCATCACCACATTTTTGTAATATGGCATAGCCTTTAAATCACAAAGACCTGGATATTACAACCATCAAATACATATTATTCAACTGAGTATGCCAGCCAACATCTTCACTGTTATAACAGATTATGGTTACATTGAATGTAAACACTATACTCTTTTTAAATGTAGACTAATATCAGTTAGCTTTTAAACTATGCTAATTTAAATCAAGTTTCACCAAATGCACTTTAAACATATGCAGGAGTGAAACAACCATTTCAGTTGGTATCTCCATATGATTATTGTAAAATAAACTATTAAAAGGTAATAGACTACTATTACTGTGTAATACATGATTCAACTGTCACACATTGTTTGGGATTTTTTGTTTTTGTTGACAATTTCAGTTGATATATTTGAAAATTGAAATCCATTAATCTGATGCACTTTGAGAGCAACATAAATAGGATATAAATAGTGTGTGCTCATGTAACAATTGTGTGCATTTGTAAACAATTAAAATAGAAAGAAACTGATTGTATAATTTTCCATTAGTGATTTCAGACGGCAAGAACGTTACATCTACACTTCACGTTGGAACCTGACGACCCCCTCACTCCCCGTTGCGGCGAATTGTAACGCCTACAGACATAGCCGCCAGACACATTTAGACTCCAGCTGTTTCCCCGCCAAAAGAGCGAGTCGCGGTGAAGAGCTTCATTTAGCATGAAATTATTATTGCACTGTATATATATATATATTTATATACAGTGCAATAAGCTTCTTAGTGCAATACGAAGCTACAGGGACGTTAATAATGTCGGTAATATTAACTTTATTTAATACAACATTTACGGTACAAGATTTAATCATACAGCCGATGTAGTATGATAATGAATTACAGCAAACATGTGCAATATATCCATTATTACAGCTCCGTGGGATGGCAGTAAGACGATATGGGTCCGTTCTTATTGTGCATCCATGGGTAAAGAGAAACGCAACTCACATTGGTTTCTCATACAGCATCTCTGTAAACTACGTGTATTCACTGAATTTCACTCTCTGCCTTTAACGGCTCGTTGTAGCTCCAATAGCTTCAGCCCCCACCCTCCCTGTGAGCACAGTGTGCTCTGATTGGTCGGGACACGTAATATGAACGTGCCGGGCGGCGCGGTCCCGTGGGTTAGATGCGCGTTCATAATGCAGAGGGAAATAACTCTCAGAATAACGTTATTAGCAAATTTTTACAACTTGAGGAACGAATGTTTTTAATAAGGGCTATACAAGTGTTCATACTGGGTAGTTTATTTAGTTTAAACAAAATTATCCAACGAGTTACAGACCACTCTTTCCCCATGTAAGTCAATGGGAAAAAGTGTTTCCGGGCCTGGCAACCAAACGGAAGTGTAGTACCGCCGTTTGGCCAGCACGAATATTTTCATCTGAGTCCGGCGCACTTCCTGGGGGCTTGGTAGGGAGGGGCGGGCCGGCCCTGCGAGTAAAGTAACGAGTAAAGTAACGAGTTACTTTATGTAGAGAGTAACGAAGTAGTGTAATATATTACTTTTTTTAAATGTAATATGTAATATATTACTTTTTTTTAGTAACGACCCCATCTCTGGTTAAGAGGTAGTTAACCTGTTTATGTTTGGGTCCGATCTTTATGTTGAAAATGTGGTTTTGAGTTAATTGTGTAACCTGTTGACGGTAAGCCTGTGGGGAGGGGCTATGGGTTCAAAAGGGACGGTGTTGGCCCTGGAAGATTCACTCGGGAGATTGTTGCAGTGAATGCAACAGCTAGGATGTGTTCGGGAGATTGTTGCAGTGAAGGCAACAGCCAGAATGTGTTTATTCCATGAGTGATGGACGGCCTGGTTTGATGACTTTTATTTTGTTTTTTTAAGTTGTGCTGTTTCGCTTTTGTCAAACAGTATATATTTCTTTGTTGCTGTCAAATAAAGTTTTGGAGCTTAATTCAACCGACTAAGCCTATGTTTCAAACGGACAAATAGAACCCCGTCACAGGGTTATTTGTGAATAAACGACCATCTGTAACGTTTGCAT